AAAAAAAGTTCATACAATGAATAAAACAAATTTCAAATCAAACACAGCACAATAAGTGGTATGAAAACAATGAAGAAAATGCCTCAGATTGAAATAAATTCTTCTTAATCTTCAAGACTGAGCTCAAGTCTTGATCATTCCTATAAGCTAAAAAAACAAACCCCATCAAGCAGATTCCCACGAATAACGCCCCTGTAGGACAGAGGAAAACTGTCCCATTGCCACAGGGTTTCCAAGGCTGTTGTCTTATACAGAAGACAACTACTGCCATCTTTCCTGTGCGGAGCTGCTGATGGGTTAGAACCACCAACCTCTGGGTCAGCATCTGAGAGTTGAAACACTCAGTGTTTACTGAATGGGTGCTTGGCATTGGCCACTGGGGGACAGTGAGGAATGAGACAGGATCTGCCTACAGGAGCTCACAGTTCTTGCTGAGACTTTTCTGACCCGTCAGTTCCCCATGGTCCCTCCTAAAGCAGTAGCTGCCCACTTACCCATTTAGCATCTAATAATCTCTTCTGTCTGGTTACTTAACGTTGCATGTATGAATACACAGTTTTCGGACACACAGTCCTGGAGGGCGGAATCCTTGTTTTATTTCTTTACTATTTATGCTACATAAAGAAGGAGGCCTACTGGCACAATGGGACTCCTGATGTGACGCTGTAGGTTAATGCACTGAACTGCAAAGTTGGTTTGAACCACAAGGTCAGTGGTTCAAGCTCACCAGCTGCTCCTCGGAAACCCTATACAGGGTAGTTATGGGTGGAAACCAACTAGAGGGCACTTAACAACAACAAAGTGGCGCAATGGTTAAGCACTCTGCTATGAACCAAAAGGTTGGTAGTTCTAAAAGATTAGAGCCTAGACAACCCACTGGAATAGCCCTACTTTGTATATGGATTATGAATCAAAGTAGACTTGACAGCATCTAACAACAACAATCACCTAGAAAGGGTTTCTGAGACTGTAAATCTTTACAGGAGCAGAAAGCTTCATCTTTCTCTCATGGAGTGGCTGGTAGTTTTAACTCCTGGCCTGTGGTTAGCATCCCACCATGTACAGTATCAGGGCTTCGTAACAATGACTACAGAATAAAACAAAGAACTGAATATAGAGTAAAATCGCAAATATTCATGTGCCTGTATTTTGCTAAGAAATATATGTATATATTCTATATCCCCAAGTCAGTCTTTAAACCTTGGAACAATTTTGAGATACCTTGTAAATGTAATCTTGGGACACACACATGCATATACTTCAAATCAGAAAGACAGTTAACAAATGTGAAGCACCTTTTAACCACAATTTTTAAAAACACAAAACTCTGCATTTATTTCGTTAGCATAAAAAGAGGTCAAGAAACTGAAAGAGCAGCCACAATTATTAAGAGGATGGACTGGAGGGCGATTACAGCTAATTATCTCATGTACCTGTAACTGATGGGGTTGGGGAAAGGTGCAATCAGACTGTTTGTCCAATTGGAAGAAGAACATCAGGGATCATGAGGACCATTCATGGCAGGTGAAGGACTGTGGGACAAGAATACCTTCATGGGAGACAATTCTAGGAGACTAAAAATCAGACAGGGCAAAACTGTGTCATCTCCGTAATTTCGAGGAATTATGGAGTCCAACTGTGAACCATCATGAAGCAAGATGAGGGTACATAATAGTGGAAATATCAACTTAAAATAATCAATTTAGGATGACAGTCACACTAAATACTAATGAGATCACACTAAAAAGATGCGATTTCTTTAGTTTGGTAAAATGAAAGCTAAGAGGGATGATCACAGAATGGCACATACACATTGAATCCAGATTTTTCTCTTCCAAGGACGCCTTCGTAAACCTGAACAAGGGAGCAGCGTACACAGTAGACGTGGGGTAGTGAAGTAACTGAGAACATTTGCCCCGATAGCCATAACCTGGCCCAGCCACTTCCTAGCTGCGTGATTTAGACAAATTTGGAACTCCTTAGTTCTTAGGCTCCTCAGCTGAAAAATGGAGGATAACAGGACCTATCTCACACAGCTGTGGTAATAACTGTAACACGTGCAAAACCTAAAAAAAAAGGGGGAAGTGCTGGTACGTGGTAAGCTCTCAATAAATGCCAGTTAGCTATTAATATACTTAGAATTCACAGCAAAAATCAAGAAATTAAATAGATTTTTTACCAATTCAAGTATATTTAGGAATGAGAGATCAATAAATGGCTACTAGCAGAACTGGGACACATTCAACTTTAAGGTTAGTGGTGTCTGTACAGGATAGTAGTAAGGGAATGCCCAGTTCCCAGAAATTGGAAGAATTATGACAGTTAGCGTCAATAACTTTTCTTCATGAAAGCACTTTCACAAATGGCATAAAGCAGTCTGGGATCAAAGGGCAAGACAATCAGATTAGCAGGCAAAGTGATACCCAAGAAATGCCACTGTGATCAGATGCGTCAAATTGGTGAAGCTACTGTTTTTTAGCTAAGGTTTTCTTGAATTTCACATCTGTTTTTAAAAAAAGGCTGTGCGTGTGTGTCTGTGTGCGGGGCTATCACTCCATCTTCGGTTAGGGCCCTTTCCCTTCACTTAGCCTACACGACAGAGGCCTTTCAAGTCCCAAGACCAGGTCAGGCTCTTTTCTAACGAATGGCCTTTGCAGGTCAGCCCCTCTGTTTCGCCCCCCCACCCCTCTTGTGACTACTTCTCCCTTATCCTAAAATTCCCAGCTGACGTCCCTCCTCCTGCTACCCTTAAAGTAGCTCTTTCTCACTTCCTATCTCAGAGCCCAGTGCATCCTGTACAGTACAGCACAGCATTTAACCCAATTTACAATGATTTGGTTTGCTTATTTCTTTGGGTTTTTTTCTAATGTCTTCACTGGAAAGCTCCATAATGGCAAAAACATGTCTTAGCACTTCCAGCATCCTCAACTAAACTGAGCACACTGAAATTAACACAGGGGTGGTTGGTGGTTATGTGCTGTCCTTAGTTTCGACTCATAGCAACAGGGTGTAGTGTTTCTGTAAATCTTTACAGGAACAGTCAACCTCCTTTTTCTCCTACAGAGAGGCTGGTAGACTTGAACTGCTGATGCCACTATGCTACCAGAGCACAGTAGACACGCAATAGATGTCTGTTGAATGAAGTAATGATCCCTAAAGTCTCTTTCAGCTAAAGACAACTAGTTAAGAACCATAATTTTATACACATACACTTACATTCACATTATGCCAGAACAGTTTTACTTAATTTCATCATTTCTGTGTGTGGGACACACACAGACACACACACACAATTGAACAAACGAACAAACTACCCAGTATAAAGAAGGAAGTTTTTACTTCCTTGTAGGTCTAGGAATTCTTCACTATGATCAAACTAACAAATGGCTTAGTTCCAAATTTAGTTATAACATGACTAATGCAATCTATTAATGACTAACATCTTCCTCAAACAGTGACTTTGTAAGTTTTCATTTCAGATTTGCCTTACTCATTGTAACCATCATTGATTGATCTAGGCCCAAACTTCTGTCCAGCAATGGGCTGATGACACGAGAGTTATCTGAGGATCATACTCCAGGGGGATTTAGTATTGGATTTAGTATTTGTGAAGTGAGGTCCTAGAATCCATATATTTAAAAGTTTGCTTATTTTGAACATGTAATATCTGCACGTAGTACACAATTCCAAGGGCACAAATGAATGTGTAGCCAACTTCTACTTTCACTCTTGTCTATGAGGTATCAAGTTCCTCTTTCCATAAATTACCACTGTTACCAATTTCTTGAGTATCTTTCCAGATAATTACTTATGTAAGCAAACATATGGAAACCCTGTACAGGGTCGCTATGGGTCGGAACCGACTCGACGGCACTTAACAACAACAACAATCTTTTGTTTTAAGCACACACTTGCCTATTTAAAGAATTGTTCTAATCTCGGTTTTTTTTTTTCTAATTTAACCATATATATGTTGGAAATAGAGATATTTGTATTTTTCACAAGCATTCTAGGTAATTCTGATGTGAAGCCAAATATAGGGTTCATTCACTGGACCAAAGTGAAGAGCTTTCAGTTTAAGTCCCTATGACATGTTACAAACTCATCGAAAAGATGCCTTAAAAAGTCATCTTGCTTATTTGACCTCTGATCCCTTTTCTCACCTAAATGAACATTCTCCACCGTTTCCTTAGAAACCTGGAAAAACTAGCCATTCAAATAGGTGTTGCGGACTCTTGGGATCTCACCCTGCTTAACATCATCTGAAATCACACACCTGAGAATTGCTGTGTTTGACAAGACATGTCGGTATTTAGGTTGTAATGAGATTTGAGCTACAGTGAACTAGAGCTCATGTTCTCTATCGGCAGGTTAAGCAGTTTTATGGTACAGCCCAAATATTTATTAATCCTACTGATACAATAGCATCCAAGTCTCCCTGCTGAATTGCTGTCTTCCCATTTGGACCCAAACAATAAACTCAGAAACTGTGGCGAAAAGACATCTTGTCCAGAATTTGGGGGATTCTGGAGTGCGGGCTACTGACAACCTGACTTCCTCCTACCAGGGGCACGTGCCCGGTGTGGCTCCCGCGTCCTTCCCCTACATCCCGGGGACTGCAAACGGGGAGCCTCCTTTAGGAACGGAGGGCAGGCGCTCCGAGGGTCACCGTGAACGTCCTCCGCAATGTCTCTGTCCCCCCAGCCCGACACGCGCGAGGACGGAGACTTGGAGTGGGGTCCGCGGGGCTAAGGGGGTCTCGAGAAGGGCGTCTGCGCGAGCTCGGGCAAGGGAGGGCGTGACTCCATTCCGTGCCCTGAATCCAGGCGTGAAATGGGACTTAGGGAACCAGACTCCGGGCTTTTCTTCCATTTTTAGTGCGGAGAGGGTCCAGGAGAAGTCCCTCCTTAGAGCCGCGATCAAGGCCTCCCCCCCTTGGCCTCCCGGCACCCTGTTGCCAGGCTCCGGCCCTGCTTCCCGCCCGGTCCCAGCCCCCTCACCCAGCATGATGGGGCTGAGCCTCCGGGCCAGGCCCTTAGACAGGTCGTACACGTAGAGCTTCACCGGATAGAGATTCGGCGGCTCCATCGGGACCCGTGGCGGAGACGGCCACGACGTCCCTCGGGCACCCGGCAGCGACTCGGACCTTCCCGTACCCGACGGGGTGGGGAGCGGAGGGAACGGGGGAGGGGGAGCGAGCCCGGGCCGGGCCAGAGGGGCGGGGGAAAGGCGGCCCTGCGCTGCTCGCGCCCCCGCACCCGCCACTGACAACGACAACTGTGATGTGACAGAGCCGGGACGGGGAGGGTCCGCGAGGACGAGGGGGAGGGGGTGGAAGGGACGTCCTTTCGCGCATGTGCACACCGCACTGCCGGGTATTGAGGGGCGCGGTTTCGAGGACGGGGGCGGGGCTTTGGCTCGCGGAGGTAGGCGTTAGTTTTGGATGTGGGTGTAATTTTGGACCTTTTCGGTGTAGTGGGCGTGTCAGCAGGACGCTAAGAAGCGCGCGCTAAGCGTGATGACTTTGAAGGCGTTGATTGGGAGCCAGAGATGGAGTTGCGCATGCGCAGGTCGCCACGTTGGGTTCCAGTTGCTGTTTTCTGCGCCAAAGGTAGGCAAGAGTTCTGTTCTGTGAAAGTTGCTTACTGGCCAGAAGTAGCCTCGTCCTGCTTCACCTACACTCTTACGTGCTTTCCTAGCCTCGCCATCCACCTGAAATGCACGGCGCTCCTACTTCCTGGGGAGGCGGTTCCTGGGTTTTGAGGGCCTCCTCCGGTGACCCCACTGGGCGAGACTGGCCACGGGTTGGCGGTTTGGGTGAGCGGAGGGCAAGAGGGTCCTAGGGCAGGAGTCCCTGCGTCCAGGGTACGCTGTGTGCGAACACCCGGGTTTAGCTGCTGCGAACATGGACAGAAGCAGCCACCCCGGTCCATCACAGGTCCTGAAGCATCTGTTAGGGTTAGTTATGGCGAGGCTGCTTTTGAAATGAACCCCTCCTACTCTGCACCAACTACCGAGAGCTGTTGAGGCAGCAGGATCCAGCTAAGTTTCAGGTCAGACCTCAAAAGAGATTGTTGTTTGGTGCTGTTGAGTCGGTTTCGACTCATATCTACCCGTTTAGGATTTCCAAGGAGCAGCTGGTGGGTTTGAACTGCCGACCTTGCGCCTAAACTGACCTTACGGTCCAGTGCATTATCCTGTGGCACCACACCAGGACTCCAAAGGAGCCAAGGAGTCGATATTTTTTTTCCTTTAAATTTTCTTGTCAGTCACTGACCATACCTTTCTTTCCCTTAGTGAGCGGTAACTACCATGTCAGGGTGGGAGTCTTATTACAAAAACGAGGGAGATGAAGAAGAGGAAGAACAAGATGAGGGCACTGAAGCAGGCGGTAAGCATGTAAACATATAACATATTGTACCCTTTTGTGTAGAAGAAAGACCTCCCCTGCCTGTCTCTGCTGCATGGCATTTGCTGTCTGATGGACCACTCCTCTCCCCAGATAATGCCAAACCATTTTCTTCTTTAAACTTGGCTATACTCCGTCTCTTTTATTCAGGCCCAAGTCTAGTCTGTGGTACATGTCTAGCCTGAAACTTTTGCAGGACGTCGATAAATTGACTTCTTTTGAACCACCATATGACCCTGATCATCTTAGGTTGTTGTTGCTGTTAGCTGCCATCGAGTTTATTCACTCATACATAGTGACCGTGTATGCACAACAGAACATAACACTGCCCGGTCCTGGGCCACCCTCACAATTCCTGCGGCCACTGTTCTAGTCCATCTTGCTGCGGGTCTTCTTCTTTTTCTCTGACCCTCGACTTTGCCAAACATGATATCCTTCTCCAGGGACCTGTCCCTCTTAACAATATGTCCGAAGTATGAGAGACAAAGACCAGCCATCCTGGCTTCCAAGGAGCACTCTGGCTGTACTTCCAACACAGATCTGTTTGTTCTTTTGGCAGCCCATGGTACTTTCAGTATTCTCCAACACCATAACTCAAATGCATCAATTCTTCTTCGATCTTCCTTATTCACTGTCCAACTTTTGCATGCTTATGAGGTTATTGAAAATACCATGGCTTTTGTCAGGCACACCTTAGTCCTCAAACTGACATCTTTGTTCTTGAACACTTTAAAAAGGTCTTGTGCAGCAGATTTGCCTAATGCAATACGTCCTTTGATTTCTTGATTGCTGCTTCCATGAGTTTTGATGGTTGATCTGAGAAAAATAAAGTATTTGACAACTTCAATCTTTTCTCCATTTATATGCATGCTGTTTATTTGTCCACTGGTGAGGATTTTTGTTTTCCTTTTATTGAGGTGCAACCCATACCGAAGGCAGTGGTCTTCGATCACCGTAGTAAATATTTTAAGTCCTCTTCACTTTCAGCAAGTAGGGTTGTATCATCTGCATATTGCAGGTTGTTAGTGAGTCTTCCTCCAATCCTGATGCCATGTTTGTCTTCACATAATCCAGTTTCTCAGATTATTTGCTTAGCATACAGATTGAATAAGTATGGTGAGTGAATACAACCCTGGTACACACCTTTCCTAATTTTAAACCATTCACTGTTCGCTTGTTCTGTTTGAACAAACTGACTCATGGTCTGTGTACAGATTCCTCATGAGCACAATTAAGTGTTCTGGAATACTCTACTTCGCAATGTTGTCACAGTTTGTCATGATCCACACAATCAAAAGCCTTTGCGTAGTCAATAAAGCACAGGTAGACATCATTTTGATAGTCTCTGCTTTCAGCCAAGATCCATCTGATGTCAGCAATAATACTTCTTGCTTCACGTCCTGCTCTGAAACTGGCTGGAACTTCTGCAAGTTTTCTGTCAGCGTGTTTGCAGCCGTTTTTGTATTACCTTTAGTAATACTTTACTCACATGGGATATCAATGATATTGTCTGGTGATTGCCACATTCCGTTGGGTCACCTCTCTTTGGAATGGGCACAAATGCATATCTCTTTCATTCAGTTGGCCAGGTAGTTAACTGTCTTCCAAATTTTTTGGCATAGATGAGTGCCTCCAGTGCCACGTCCGTTTGTAAGCTTTCAATTTGTAGTCCATCAATTCCTGATGCCTTGTTCTTTGTCAGTGCCTTCAAATGCACCATGGACTTCTTCCTTTAGTGTCATTGGCTCTTGAATCTATGCTGCTTCTTAAAATGGTTGACCATCGACCATTTCTCTTTGGGGCAGTTACTCTGTATAGTCCTTCCATCTTATTTTTGTGTGTGTGCCCTGCCCTTCCTCTCCCAACCTGTGCCTTACTGTCCCCTCCCTTCTACCCTTGGTAACCAACAGAAAAAATTTAAAAAAAATTTTTTTCCCCTCCTCTTTAGTATGAACATCTTATCCTCAGCTTTTATAGTAATGGTTTTATGCAGTATTTGTTTTTTGTGAACAGTCAGATATCTTAACATTATTTCCTCTCCTTTACCCCTTCAGCCTGTGCCTCGGTCCCTATATCATGGAGCGTTGTGATTCCAAGGCAGTGCAAACGCCCACAGTCCACCCATGCAGACCTCTGTCTTTCCCCATCTTCCCTGCTCCCCTCCTGTCCTCTCCCCACTTGTGTATTGTGCCCCCTCCTTTTACTGCCCTTCCTGTCAACATGTGTCCATCCCATGACCTATGAGTTACTGTCTCCTCCCTCCCACCCCTGGTAACCGTCAAAGAACTTTTATTATGGAAATCTTTTCTTCAATTTTCACAGTAATGGACTTATACACTGTCTGGCCTTTTGTGCCTGACGAATTTCACTCAGCATTATGTCTTCAAGGCTCATCCACGTTATGTGGTTTGTTTGCTGCAAGATTCTTCCTTGGTGAAGTGTCTATTCATGTCTTGTGCCCATTTTTTAATTGGGTTGTGTGTCTTGTTCTTGTAGATGTGTTGTAATTTCCTATGAATTTTAGAGATTAGTCCCTCGTCTGATGTATTGTTGCAGAAGGTTTTTTCCTAATCTGTAGATGCCTTTTTTATTCTTTTGGTGAATTCTTTTGATGTACATAAGGTTCTAATTTTTAGTATGTCCCAGCCATCTAATTGTTCTTTCTTGTTTGTGTGCTTCCTCCCATCCTCTTTTGATGCTTTCTGCATCAGTCAATATTTTGCCCGTTGTTGTTGTTAAGTGCAGTCGAGTTGATTGTGACCCATAGCAACCCTGTGTAGGGTTTCCGAGGAGCAGCTGGTGAGCTTGAACCATTGACCTTGCAGTTCAAACGGGCTTTGCAGTCTGATGCACTAACTCACAGAATCCTCAATATTGTAAGTCGAGGCTTGAATTTTTTTCTTCAGTTCCCTCAGCTTGAGAAATGCTGACCATGTTCTTCCCTTTTGGTTTTCTAACTCCAGCTCTTTGCATATTTCGTTATAATATTTGACTTTGTTTTCTCACTTAGCAAAGTAGTTTCCCTCATTTCAGGGCCACACTACAAAAATGCCTTCAACCTATGATTGCCATAGCAACCCAAGTGTGCACATGAGTTGTATGATGATTACAGGATAATCATTTCCTCCCCTTAACCTTTGGGTAAGGAACACTGGTGGTACCATGATTGAGCACTTGGATGCCAATGCAGAAGTCTGCAGTTCAAAGTCTCCAGTCACTCTGCACGAGAAAGATGTGACAATTTGCTTCTGTAATGATTACCCCATTGTTGTCAAGTCAGTGCCAACTCACAGGGACCAGATATGACAATCTCTACAGGATTAGTCGGCTACATCCTTCTCGAGGAGTAGCTGGTGCATTTGAACTGCCAACCTTTTGGTCAGCAGCTGAGCACTTAACCACTGCACTACCAATTATCAGGGTTAGCTTCCAGGACTGGGAATATATGTTAGAGCAACACAATAGCACAGAACAAAGAGAATTAAGGAGTCTATGTAATCTACATACTAGTTAACTCCTGGGTAGAAATTTAAACTGTTTTCATTCAAAGTGAGAAAAATATGGGGAAAATAAAAAAGAAAAGAAAAAAAGTTACTATAATCTACTACCCTAACATAATCACTACCAACATTTTGGCATTTTACATATGTCCTATATACATCTGTCATTTTGCATATATATCTATGAGGGTGAATCAGAAATTACTCATGCTCCAATTAT